AAATTGTTAATTAGTTAATTATATTATTTTACTTGGATCAACAATCAATAATCATGGAAGCAGCATTGTATCAAATCATTATTGTAGAACGAGTATAAGGATCCAAAAGGTGTGGGAGAGGTTGGAAGCAGAGGGATGAGGATGTGCAGGGGGAGGGAGGTTTAATCATTGGGTGTACAATTTGTTGGGTGGGTGGATGAGGGAAATTTAAAGAATTTTTCTTGAAAACAATGTATTTGAATTTTGTAAATAAACGACTAGAAAATTTTAGAAAAGAATATTAGAAAAAGATTTATCACTTTGCAATTACATGTGATAATAGCAAATGATGGGCAAAATGCCACAGATGAGACTATTAACAGATCCTAAGTGAGATAGGAAGGAATGTTTGTGAGGGGTAAGAGGGATGTTGGAAAATTTCATAAAATAAAAGGAACATGTATAATAAAAAGAAAAAAAGATATGCTGCCTTGGGGAAAATCTGCTATTGTAAACCTTTTTTAAGAACTAATGAGTAAGAATATCAGTTTAAAGACTAAGATGTGCCCACCTCAGGCCATAGTATGTTGAGTTGTTTTAGAAGCATCTTTATAAGTTGAACATTAAATAAAGAAAACCAAAGAATAATGTATGCCTTTGAATTGTGGTTTTAATGAAGAGTAGTGAATATAGAAGGCACTGCCAAAAGAACCAACACATTCATCTTAGAAGAAGTCCATCCAAGGTGCTCCTTAGAATCAGGGATGATGAAATTTTGTCTCTGCTATTATTAGAGGGGCCAGTCCTTGGAAAAATATATCATAGTTGGAAAAATTGAAGGATAGTGAAGGAGAGGAAACCCTTGCAGAGAAGGATTGGCACAGTGGATACAGCATTGGCTTGGAGCATGGCAGAGATTATGTGGATGGTGTGGCATTGGACAAGGTTTTGATCTGTTATTCATAGGGTTGTTGTGAGCTGAAGTCAACTTGACATCACGTAGTAACATATATGGAATCAAATTGACAACTTAAACTCAAAAGAATAGATAGGAATCCTAGAGAGCAATGAGTTTATACTAATGAGAGGGGAACAACTCAGAAGAGTGACTCTGATTGATAACTCTAAGAAACACCAATGTCAATCATTGTCATTGTACACGTGCAAACGAGTTGGTGTATGTTTTGCTGTATAGTCCACAAAAACAAATAAAATTGTATTTTTAAAGAGATAATTGAAAAACTGTATGATACAAAAGCACGGGAATATAAAACCTCACTTCTGCGTGAAAACTCCAGTTTCTAGAATGTGGAAGCAAATCCATGAACATATATCTCGCCGTTGCTCTGCTCTTCTCAAGCAAAATACAGAGGGCCAGCTGGCTTTGTAGTCTACCAGCATTGTCACCATCAACATAACTCAGTACTTCTCATACTCAGTTTTCCTGTATTTTACATCAAAAAGTGATCTTTTGTTGTTCTCGATCACTGTCTTGGAATCAGCCCCTGACATATGGCAGACCCATGGGATGGAACCAAATGCTAACAGGTCCTGCACAATTCCCATGATCCATGGAAAGTCAGATCATTGTGATCCATAGGATTTTCCCCTTTCATGCTAAAACTTCTTAGTCTAGAAGCACCGCTGAAACCTGCAATGAATCGTAGTTTCTGTGAATTGAACCTAAATAGCCTTGAAAGCAGGAGAGGCATCCACTTCCTAAACAACATGCCTCTGGAAACCCTATGAACTTTGATAAATGTCAATAGTTGAAGAGGAGCTTCAGGCCTTTTGTTCATAGGGTCTCTGTGATTTGTGCTTGATTCGAAGGCAATCATCAAAAACAACACCCTGTAGAGAAGGCAGGAATTCAACCACTGAACCATCAGTGCCCCTCAGGTGACCTCAGAGCATTGCTTTTCAAACTGTACCTACCATCACATTGATAGGTTTCTATATAGAAAATAAGGAGTGGTAAGGAGCTGTGCTGCCCACCTAAAGGTTCACGTTTCGAATCCACCAGCCACTCAGTACTTGAGAAAGATAGACAATCTCTTTCTGTCGGAAAACCCACTGGAGTGTTGAGTGAGTTTCACCTAGATTATACATAATCACAAATGGAAAATATCGGCATGCAATTGATTTAGTCTTCCAAATTTGGTGTAAGGGGAGTGTGTGTGAGAGAGAGAAAAAGAAATGGATATCAGTACAAAATATGGGAGTTTTGTGGTTTAAATAATGCTTGAAAAATATTTCTGTAGACTAAAATCCCTTTCTATTCAGTAATTCTTTTCTTGTAGGTAACTGTCAAACTATTCTTTTGATGTAGCACATGTTTCAAAACAGTATGGTGAAGTGGCAGGTCTGAAGAAGGGAAAAAACCCCTCTATGAATCAAAGACAGCTAATAGCAAAGAGAGTAACAGTAAAATGTAAATAAAGCCAACATCTGTGTTGTATTTGACCACAAGACTGAACAAGCTTTAAAATTTATTAGTATTCTAACAAGCAAATCGTTACTGTAATTTATGAAGAAAAGTCAGAGTATGCTATATATTAACAAAGAGTAGAGCAATTCTTTTGATAGTCATATAAATAAGCAATGGTTATCAAGAAGAAATAATACATTCTCAAAAGTAACAATAGCGTGGCACATAAATTCAGAATTGGCAATTAAATAAATGTGGTGGTGAGTCTCTTCACCCTTGGCCCATAAAAAGATTCATTGGCAGAGTTATGAGACAAGTCAGTGTGCTTTTATTGGCCTGAACTAGAGGGAGTAAACACCTCAGTCAGGTGTTTTGTTTTAGAAATGGCTGATTGAACTGCTGCTGGTTAATTCTGCTGCCCCAGGGTATATTTGAGCATTTAACTTCCTCTTCCCTCAACCCCCTTATGATTGCTGGTACTTACTCATCGGTAAATGCATTGTGCCTAATTGGGTGATGAATTGTTGTTGTTCTGCTGCTAAGTATGTATTGCTCTTAGCGACTTCTACCTGGTACCGGGAATGGAACCCGAACCAGCAAGCCTAGGCACCTGAAACACCGTGCTCTCCCACTGAGCTACATCTTCAGACCCTGAGTATGTATTGTTGGTACGCTTGTTAAAGTGCTCAGCTGTGAGCGGACAGATTAGTTAGTGGATTGAACTCAACAGCCACCTTTATGTAAAAGAGGAAGCATTCTACTTCCATAAAAAAGATTGTGACATTTAAACTATGGGACAGTTTTTCTTTATCCTAAAAGCTTACTATGAGTTGAGCTCCACTTGAAGGCAATGTATTTTGTTGTTTTGTTTTTTTAATGTAAGATTAATGTGTTTGCCATCTGGATATCTGATTTGTTGTTGTTGATGTCTATGAGCACAACTCATAGCGACCCTATGAATGAAAGGCCTGAAGCCCTTCTACAACTATTGCCATTTATCAAAGTTCATAGAGTTTCCAGATGCATGTTGTTTAGGGAGTGATTTATTTGATGGGAAAGCTGAGGTTGGAAGAGGTTAACTAAGCAGACTAAGGTGAGAGGGCAAAGGGTCTCTACCACGCCCTGGTTCTTCCCAAAGAGCAGGGAAGAGGTAAGACTTGAGGTGGTTGCCCAAGGTCTCGATAGGCATTTGATGAATGGAGATTAAAAAGTTTAAGAGGTAGAGAACTTTTGTAGAATAAAGCCTATGCATCCAGAGCACAGGACAGATTGATAGGAGGCAGTGCTGGGTAGTGAGCATCTTACTGATTTCTTCCGGTGTCCAAGCCCTTGACACCAGTGATGTGCACTCACTTGGCCAAATGTGTCTGCTGGCATTAAGGCACATTTGGGGAATCTGGAGATATTTGCAGCATGTATAAAGATAAAAAGTAGTTATTATCAAGACCCTGACTTAGAGTAAACTCATGTGTATCAGAGTCAACTAGAGGATTTTTCCAGTAGTTTATATTTTACCGGGACTTTTATCTGAGATGCCTCTAGATGAACTCAAATCGCCAAATCTTAGATAAGCAGCCAAGTACATTAACTATTTGCAGCAGAGAATCTTTCATAATATTGCTAAGTAATGTATTTAGGAAGCAATATATGTCATGTTTTAAAGTAATTAGTATAAAAGAAAAAAATAACTTTAAACAGAGAAGACAGGCAGGGATGTCAAAATCATTTTTTAAAGTTTCATTGACTTTATATTAACAGTGCCAATTTCATGTGGTATTTTTAATTATTTTAAAGAACATCTTCTACAATGCTGTGCTGTTATCACAGCAAGCATGCTGAATAAATGCAAAGTGGCAAATTTTAACTTGAGAAAGTAAGTGTACATGTACCCTTCAGAATATCCTGCATCCCCTTTATCTATGCTGGCCTCCAATGGTTATTTGATGACTAGACAGCATCACATGAATGTCAAGGTCAGCTCCCTGATCTAGACATGGTACAGGTGGTCCAGGTGACCATCACTTCCCACTTCGAATATACTCACAGTTTTTAGGCTATTTGAATACATACAGATAGCAGTAAACAGTTGGTATCTAGACTACAATCACTATTCACCCACTATTCTTCTGAAATTAATTTACATTGTTTATATTTTCTGATATTTGTGGTAATGCCTTTAGACACTCTTAATGGATTGTGGTATAGTAGAAACACTAAAGGTTTCTTGATTCATTGAACTACTTGCTCCTAAAATAGACATTTTACATTTGAACTGCCTCTACATGATGAGTGTCTCTAGCTTTTTTTGTTTGTTTGTTTGCAATATTCTAATCAACAAGTTATACTTTGGTGACGCAAGTGGCCAGAGACATTGAGGCATTTAACTTAAAAAAACACACAGCAAAAACTAACCGTGTAGGTATCTCAAGTTTGCCCACAAATAAACCAGGCCCACAGAAAGGAGTTGACACTTAAGTACCATAATGTATCTTTTGCTTTTTGGCTTTCCTGACACTAACTCCCTCCTCATGTGGCAACATATATTATTTAGCATGAAGTATATATGTCCTTGACTTTAAAATTCTTCTTTTAGGATCCACCCACTTCAGTTTCCCTTGGACTGCGAATGGAAGAAATGATTTTCAACTTGGCAGATACACACCTATTTTTTAATGACTTAGAAGTAAGTTCCACTTACCTTTCCTATTTGTTACATGTTGCGTATTTGAAAATAGGGAATGTTAACTAAAAAACGGAGTACTGTTTTCTAGATAGATAACTAGATAATTAGAATAATGAGATCACATTATAATCATTAGATATTATGTGGTTATGTATATTGCCTTTATAGTAATTCCTTTCTTTTGAGGCTTGTATTTAAAGTTAGATGCCATCTAACCATTGATAAAGATTACATTTGAGTCAAGAATATTAAGTTTTAAGCCTTGTTAATTCAACCACCATGCTCCGTAGAGGTAAGGATGATGAAACTTCTCTCATACTTGGGGGATGTTGTCAGAGGGGCTGATTCTTGGAAAAAGACATACCATGCTGGGGCAGTTGAAGGGCCAGAGAAAAAGAGGAAGACCCTAAAAAAAATGAGTAGACACAGTGACCGAAACAATGGACTGGATCATGAGCGTGGTGAGGGCAACGTTCCAGTCTTTTGTTGATGGGGTCACTATGAGTCATAGTTGACTTGACAGCACCCAGTAACAAAACCAACAGAAACAACAGATGTCTAGTTACTGTGGAGCTGTATTGCCTTTAGAATTCATCATTAATTGAGGTATTTGTCTATACTGCCTGTGTCGGACTCTCACTGAGCTAGGTTGTGTGCTTTCCTTTCTGGATAATCCAGTGGGTTAGACAACATAATAGTGAGGCTCTTTGGGTTACTAAGATTTCTGATGTCAAACTGCTGATGACGTTACTTGTACATTATGAATTTGGGGAAATTTTTGTAAGATCGGTGGCTGAGTATTAATGGGTATCGACAAACAAGTTGATCTAGATTCTTCAAAACAAAGAATATTCTATTTCATAGCTCCCTTATGAAAACACACGACCATAACTACATTTCACTTCCTTCTTAATAAAGCGAGTTGTAAATTTTGCTGTTAAGCAAGCTTGCGGTGGGCTGCCAACAGGCATTAAGCATCGAGTTGTTGTTTTGCTGGATTTTATAAGTGTATGTTATTACAGCCAGGAGAAGAATCTGAAAGATTCACATAGAACTTTTACTGATCAAAGTTAATTGGCAGCAATTGGCCTTTAAATATTTCCTGATGTTTCCTTTTTTAAAATCAAGCAAAATGCACCTTATTTAATAGATGAACCAAAATAATTTGAAAAATGCCAGTGTGTGACAGAACCTAAATGCGGTTTGTTCAACATCTGTCCTGTATTTTGATTTCCTTTCATCTGCAATGAAACTACTCACAGACGAATTGGCAACTTACAGTGCAATAAAATTATTTAAATGTGCTTGTCCCCCCACGCCTTCAACAAAGTATTTATTTTTACACGTAAGGTAAAATATATTTTTTTTTTCATTTTAAAGTGCTTGCTTTTCTAAAGGAAACATGTAAAGTATTTCTGTATTTTAAGGTAGAACTATTCCAAGTGAGTGACAGTTTCAGAATTGCTTTTAGAAATGCCTGATAATCGTACTTATTTTCAAAAGCTGTTTCTGATTTAAGGCTGTGTTTCACTTTTTAAGAGAGCAGCACCAAAATATTCCATATTTTGCTAGTATGTTAAAATTCCTTTCCTGAGTTTCCATTTGTTTCTAATGATGCAAACAAAGCTGATATTTTGTTCTGGGTACAGGGTCCTTGTTCTTATTGATGCTAATGTGTGATAATAGCACCCATCCAGAAGAAATTAGCAGTCATTACCTATTGTTTTTTAAGTTCTACATTTTTAAAAATGCCAAGGCTTGTCTCTGTGGTGCCAACTTATGTGGTAAAAAGTGAGGAATTAACAAATTAGTAATTTTTTTGGTTGTTGTTGTTATGTTGGGATGTTATATTGTTATGTAGATAGGCCTCCAAAATTTCCAAATTCAGTGGTGACATAATACAGTTAGATTATTATCTACTTATAAATACAACACACGCTGAAAGAGAAGTATAACTAGATACTATCTGAAATAGTACTCTAACAAGTATATTTAAAGTATATGGTGACGTAGTAGGTAGTGAGTGTTGCTTCCAACCTAAAGGCACAGAGCTCAAATCCACCAGCTGCTCCACTGGAGAAAGATGGGCTATTCCTTGCATGTGGCTTACTGCCTCTGAAAACTCTGGAGAGTCAGCAATGAGTTGATTCTGACAACAACAATATATATTAATATTCTTATCTTAAAGATAAATTTTACACAAATCCAAATCAAAAAATAATAACAAGTAGTCTATCAAGTTGGTGAAATATTCAGATTCCACTCTTGGATTATTTGATTCCAGAATTATTGATTATTAGTAGTAAAGTAGAATAAGAATGACTCTAAAATGTAACCAAATACATAAAACAACAGTGAAAAATATTTAAGTGTGTAAACTTGCAAAAGTTGATTATGAGTTCTTTTTTTGGAGACTAATGCAAAATTATCTACCAAAGTTCAGAATTTAGCAGCTATCTTTAGAGATTGTTTCCTGGCTCTGGATTTGTGTCATACTAATATATTTAAATAAATTGGCTTTTATACTTCAGTCCTCTTTTTAAAATTTATAACTCAGATTTAAAATTCAGACCCGGGACTGGTCATTGTAAATATTAGTTTCTTTCAAAATAAGTGAAATTATTTGCTGGCAAAATAAATGTTTTGGCATAATTCTCTTAAGAAAATGAAAATTATCTCATCAGAGAGAAATGATGTGGTAATGCCTAATTTCACACTCTGCTTAGCTATGTGCTGTGGTGGGGGACATGACTATTTTAATATGTTTAATGTAAATGTTTTTAGTTCTTTTGGTTCTTTGAGTATAAGTCATTTTAAAGCGATTGACAGTCTGTTGCTTTTTATGAAGTGTGATTTCTCTACTCTCACTTGTTGAAGGTTGGCTTAGTTTTCTTCTAAAAATCTTAGTTTTTGTTGCCTCCTCCTCTGTATAATTGGTTGAGTTCACATCTTAGACATATGTGAGCCTCTGAATAATGAAATAAACTTTGAGAGGGCCTTCAGTAGCATTTGTTGTATTTTCCAAGGTTATGTTCAATCTGGATATCAGGATCTGACTTAAGAAATTTCGCTTATGATTTTTAAAGTAAGAGATACTTAAGGAATTTCAAAGAATATTATAAAAGCCTTTTTTTAACTTGGGGATCATTTTTAATGTAAAAAAATCACAATTTAATTCTATTGTGACTTTTGGGGTGGGGGGAAATGACAAATTTCATTTTCCTGTACCATTAAAAATGATAGCTTGGGAATATGAATGGCAGGCAATGAGCAGGGGCCCCTTTTGCCTCTGCAGAGCAGATCTTGGACTTTTGATCCATAGTGTCCTTCTTCTGGTGTTCCTAAGTCTGACAAAAGTCCTGTGTATCATTTTACAGAAAGATCTTCATATGCATGGAATATGGTGTATGATGATTGATGCCTATGTAGAAGTCATTTTTTTATGAATGAGAGTATGAAATCAGAAGTGTGCTTTCTGCTTTTCTTCTTTACTCCAGCTTTAGTATTGTTCTTTCTGAGAAAGAAGTCTTCCTGTTGGGGTTTTAGTGAAAAGCCATCTGTAACTAGAGGGATTTGGGGGGAGCAGTTTTTAGCATAAGGTAATGTTTCCGTTTAACCTGTCACTGGCTACTTCTACTGAATTTGTCCCCAGTTAAGGGACGAATATTTTTATCAATGGACAGTTTAAAACTATGCCATTGAAGTTGTGTTAGATATCCTCTTTTTTCTCTGGTTTAAGTCACATTGGATTGTTTTCGTGGTTGTCCTCCCAACTGTGGAGTTAACATAGGGACAGCAGCTCCCAGGTCTACCAGGACTTAATTCTCCCCACAGCAGTTAGACTGGGAAGTGGTGGGAAACCTCCCTCATCTTTCGGGAGACTCAGAAATAGGATTGTGTTGCACAGGCCATGTTCACCTCATTAACCGTGAATCTGCATTGGGTGCCTCCTCCTTATGACCCTTGGGCTTTAGTTAGTCCAGACAGACCACCTTTCAATTGGATGTCAGCATTTGTATTATCAAAACTGCCTGGGGTCTGCAGTATGTTCTTGTTCTAGGTATAATTTTTAAATATTTATCCTTTGTACTATAAAAACATCATTCTAGAGAATAAAAGAATAATACCAAGGGAAAACACGAACAAACCCCGAACTGAATGTCAGAAGACACTCTAAAACTTGGTTTGGAATATAAAGTAATGAATGGAAGAAATGAGTACAAGAGTTGGACAGAATTTTTCAAAGGGTGCCTGGAAAAGCATAGTCTTATAATGCAGTGTGCAAATCCCTGAATTTAGAAACCAAAATGGAGATGCAAATGTGCTCGTTTTCAAGCTGAAGATCTGAAGGAAACATTCAAGCCTCAAGTTGCAAGATTGGAGGAGTCTGTGTGCAAAATAGTAAATGTTACAGGAGCATCTAAGAAGATGAAAGTACCATACACAATCACTGCACCCAAAAGAATAGGTCAGCCTTTCACCTCTTCAAGAATTAGCATATGATCAAGGAAAACAAAACAAAAATCAGTGGTACTGAAGGGAGAAATCCACACTGTAGTTAAAAGCATTGCAGAAAAACAAACGAACCAAACAAACTTCTGTTTAGTTGGCTCTGACTTGTGAATGCACTCCATTGGATTTATAAGGCTATAAATCTTAAAGGGAGGACACTGCCTTATCTTCCTCCCAAACAGTAGTTTGTGCATTCAGACAGTTTAATCCCTGTACCACTAGGACTCTGAGTAAGAACAAGACTCCAGAAATTGGCAGGATGGCAAACGAGTTTTCTGAGCTGACTAAAGGAAAGCTGGAAGCGCTCATCTGTGACATGAATTTCAAGGACGGTTACATCGCCAACAGACTGGAAGAGAACCATATACATGCTCTAGCGAAAAGCAGAAATTAAAGAAAGGTGATCCAATGGAATGCAGAAATACCAAACAATACAATTAATATAAGAACAGAAACAAGGATAGCAATACTTTTGAGTATGGTATGAA